GGCACGTCACTCACCCCCCTAGAGGCACGTCACTCACCCCCCTACAGGCACGTCACTCACCTCCACGGGCACGTCACTCACCTCCATAGGCACTTGGGTACAGGTCGCTCTCCTTGGACTCTGGTGGAGCCGCAGCCTCAGGCTCCTCCTCTTGTTTGATCCAAGACAGAATATCTGATGTGGAAATACCAGGTTCTACTTGTGGGAAAAGAACAGAAGGATCTCAGGGACTGAACCAGAAAGGGACAGTGATTATGTTGGTTTTCTGATCACTAAGTTCTGCCCAAATATCTATTTCCAACTGAACTACAACAACAAAACTGAAGCGGCCTTTAAAAAGATGCTTGAGTTCATGCCTTCCAAACTAGAAGGGCTCAATAATGGACTTTCAGTAATTATTTTTCCACCTGAACTTCTTGGGTAAAGTTGGAGTTCAATATTAAACCTGCCAGTGACCAAATAATGGACACACACACACACACACACACAGACACACACACAGACACACACACAGACACACAGACACACACACACACAGACACACACACACACACACACACAGACACACAGACACACACACACACAGACACACACACACACACACACACACGGTCTACAGTTTGGTCTTAATAACAGAGTTATAGGAGAAATTCAGAAAATCTCAGAAGTTTACATTTTTCTGTGTTCTTCCATTCACGGTTATTCTGTAGTAATTGTATGACATTATTATTAGAAGGGAGACTAGGAGCGGATAATCCCTTCTCTACTCACCTTCACTGGGGTCTGCGGGCATCTCACTTTCCTCTGGCCCCGCCTGGCCCCTAGTGTTATGTCCTCCTTCTGGTGGAATCTGAGATAAGACATCAGGTTGACTCATGGCATAATCTAGGAGAGGAAAAAGGGGGAGGGGGCATGACAAAGAGAAGACTGATGAGGACAACTTAATCCCCATCAAGGCTGAGATGCAGAGTCCCAGGGAATTTCTTTCGGACTCCATACCACTCATTCCCATCCATCTGCCTCCCACTGCGATGACATCTATCCAGAAGAGCCGCTCAGAGGAGATGTAATATGTGGCCAAGGCACACGGGCTCCTTCAGCACTGCCTGCCTGCCACTGCTACTGCGTCAGAGTGGCAGTGTGCCCCAGGGGGAATCAAGCTCCTTCCAAGGGTGCCATGGAAACCCTGACCTTCACTCTCTGTCCTGACTGGGCAAAAGGAGAGACAGGATTTCCTAGTCAATAAGGATGAGCTGGTCATCTCTGGCTTCAAAGGAGAATCTGAAGTACATGAGGACAGAGTGACAATGAGGATGTGGAGGAGGGGGACAGCCCTGAGCTCCCTGGAGCTGCCGGCCCCTCCTTCAAAAGGCGCCAATTCAGCCTCACCCATGGAGACGAGGGACTCATAGTTGCCCTTCATGATATTCTTGTACAGCTCCTTCTGCCATTCTTCTAATTTTTCCCACTCTGGAGTGGAAAAGTAGATGGAGACGTCATCAAATGTCACAGGCACCTGAAATGACAAGGGCTGGGGTCAGTCCCTCCCACTGCAACTCCATCATCTGATCAAGTTTCACTAAGTGCCTACAAGCTACAAAGTGACACACTGAAAACTAAAGACAGATCTAACCTCCAAGAGTTTACAGCGTTTTCAAGGAGAAAAGTCATAACCCTTAGTAACTTGAGTTTTGGGGAAGCAGAGGACATTACTTATAAACAGTCACTCACAGAGGTACAAATGCAAAGCAATATTTAATTCATGTACATAACATATTCTGAGTATCAATTAAATATGTCCTAAGCACCAAGATTATAAAAATATGGTTTCTTCCCTAAAGAGCATTATGACTGCATGCCAAATTAGTGACATGGAAAACCTTTAGGAAATAGAGCTATAATAGGGCTGGGGTGACTCTGGAACAGAGCGGACTTGATTAGTCTTAAAGAGCAGGTAAGCTATAAATGGGCCTAATGGGAATGGGAAAAGCATTTAAGCAAGGGAATTGGAGAGTGTCAGAGGGCAATTATGAATTCAGCCTGGGTGGAGTCATGGCTCCATGGAGCGAATGCGTGGGACTAACTGAAGGTCTATCCACAAAATAGAAGCCCCCACCTCCTAGCAGAGATTGCTGTACACACACACACACACACACACACAGTTTAAGATGTTGCTGCTGTTGTTAGGTGCCGTCAAGTTGGCTCCAACTCATAGCGAGTCTGTGTACAACAGAACGAAACACTGCCTGGTCCTGTGCCATCCCCACAACCATTGCCATGCATGAGCCTACTGTTGCTGCCACTGTGTCAATCCATCTCATGGAGGGTCTTCCTCTTTTTTGCTGACCCTCTACTTTACCAAGCATGATGTCCTTCTCCGGGGTCTGATCCCTCCTGGTAACATGTTCAAAGGATGTGAGACCAAGTCTTGCCATCCTCACTTCTAAGGAGCATTCTGGCTGTACTTCTTCCAAGACAGACTTGTTTCTTCTTCTGGCAGTCCATGGTATATTCAATACTCTTTGCCAACACTGTAATTCAAAAGTGTCAATTCTTCTTCGGTCTTCCTTATTCCTTGTCCAGCTTTCACATATGAGGTGACTGAAAACACCATGGCTTGGGTCAGGCACATCTTAGTCCTTGAGGTGATATTTTTGCTTTTTAACACTTTAAAGAGGGCTTTGACAGCAGATTTGTCCAACGCAATATGTTGTTTGATTTCTTGGCTGCTTCTTCCGTGGGCATTAACTGTGGATTCGAGTGAAGTGAAATCCTTGACAACTTCCATATTTTCTCTGCTTACCATGATGTTGCTTCTTGGTCCGGTTGTGAGGACTTTGTCTTCTTTATGTTGAGGTGTACTCCAGACTGAAGGCTGTGGTCTCTGACCTTCATCACTAGTGCCCTCAGGTCCTCTCCACTTTCAGCAAGCAGGTTTGTGCTATCTGCATATCACAGGTTGTTAATGAGTCTTTCTCCAATCCTGATGCTCTATTCTTCTTCATATAGTTGAGCTTCTGGGATTATTTGCTCAGCATACAGACTGAATACATATGGTGAAAGGATACAACCCTGACGCACACCTTTCCTGACTTTAAAGCACGCAGTATGCCCTTGTTCTGTTCAAACGACTGCCTCTTGGTCTATATACAGGTTCCACATGAGCACAATTAACTGTTTTAAGATAGGTGAGGTTAAGAGCTGTTAAGAATTCAGAGAATTTTAAGATGAGGGGCATTAAGGAAGACACTGGGGAAGGCTTTATGAATGGTGCCTTTGGAACTGGACCTTTGAGGATGGGAAGGACATTCTAAATGAGGTGACCTGACCAAAATAGGAGAAATCATGGGGATGTCCAGGGGAAGAACAGTTCGTTCAGTGTGCCCAGAGGGTGGGTGTGAGAAGGGGAGTAATGGGAGACAGGAAAGAGGATGGGGTCAGGCAAAGGGGTTTGGATTTTATTTGGCTGGTAATGGAGAGCTAAAGAATCCTGAGCATAAGGGTGACCTGGTTCTACCTGTGATCTAGGAATATTAATCTAGTAAGAGTTATATAAGGCTTCTTTTACTGGGGATTGAGGACAGAAGATAAGTTAGAAGGTTTTCGAGAGAGACCAAATAAGAGTCATGTTATGGATTGAACTGTGTTCTCCAAAAATATGTATTGTAAATCCTAACGCCTACAGAAATCTCTGAAGTGTTAAAAAGCAAAGATATCACTTTAAGGACTAAGGTGTGCCTGACCCAAGCTATGGTGTTTTCAATCACCTCATACGCATGTGAAAGCTGGACAATGAATAAGGAAGACTGAAGAACTGACACCTTTGAATTACAGTGTTGGCAAAGAATATTGAATATACCATGGACTACCAGAAGAACAAACAAATAAGTCGAGGAAGTACAGCCAGAATGCTCATTAGAAGCAAGGATGGCGAGACTTCATCTCACATACTTTGGACATGTTATCAAGAGGGACCAGTCCCTAGAGAAGGAGGACATCATGCTTGGTAAAGTGGAGCATCAGTGAAAAAGAGGAAGACCCTCAACGAGATGGACTGACACAGCGGCTGCAACAATGGGCTCAAACATAGCAACGATTGTGCGGATGGTACATGACCGGGCAGTGTCAAAACTCTGTTGTACATAAGGTCGCTATGAGTTGGAATCACTCAATGGCACCTAACAATAACAACAACCCCTACACCTGTGGTTATAATCCCATTTGGAAATGGGTTTTCTTTGTTATGTTAACTAAGCAGTATTAGTGTAGGTGTATCCATCTCCTCTGAGATATAAAAAGAGCAGATTGAGCAAGCAACCAAGCAAGCAGAGATGGGAGAAGACAGATGCCACGCCACAGGAGATCTCTAAGGAACCAGTACATAGGAGCTCAGAAGAGACAAGGTCCTTCCCCCGAAGCCCACAGAGACAGAAAGCCTTCCCCTAGAGCCAGAGCCCTTGATTTGGACTTCCAGCCTCCTGAACTGTGAGAAAATAAATTTCAATTTGTTAAAGCCACTCACTTGTGGTATTTCTGTTATAGCAGCATTAGATAATTAAGACAAGCCCTGAGAGTGCAGCTGCAGTGGGAAGAGTGCAGGACAGACAGACTAGATTGCCAAGACAGGGTCAAAGGAGGCGATGCTCTTTGAAGGCCGGGCCCTGTCTTCTGCACACCCAGCCGCCACCGAAGCGAGCACGGTGCTACCGTACTCACCAAAGGTTTGCTGAATGGACGAGCATTTTGGGCATCCACAGGATGGGGAGCTCAGTGTTGTCTGAGATGAGGTGGTTCATGGGGGAAAGGAGGCTCAGCTGTACCTCTGATCTCCCTCAACTAACACTTCCCCTCCCAGAGTCTCCATAGTTCTGTGCAGGTCCACTACCTAATCCAAATGACTTGCCTGGATGGTTGAGTGAGGGGTAGCAGGAACTTTCTCTCTGAGCTGCCCTATCTCTTGGTGAGGACTCTGTAGTAGGGAACAAGAGCACTCAAACAGCTGGACCCCCTTGGGGTGACCCCGGTATTATTTTGATGTCCCTCTGCCTCTGAGCACCCCATCTGCTGCAGCAGAGGCTGATGAGCAGCTATTCCAGAGTGACCTGCCTGCACCTTGGTGGAGTCAGCCCTGTTTCTCCAGGGCCAGCGCCTCCACTGGAGGTCAGTTCATCCGAGGGTATTGAGGCCCTGGAGCTCTGATCCAGAAAAGAGCACGTTCACAAGAGACAGTAACAGATTAAGGATGAAGGTACGTTTCATTTATACTAGAGCTCCACCTGGCCTGACACCAGGCTGGACCGCTCAATGATCAAAATATGGTATAATAGATTATTTGACACTTATAGAATCCGAGTAGGGAGCTGGTTCTCACAACAGCCACACCCTCTATGGATGCCAGATAAACTGTCGTTCACTCTAGGGAAGCTTACTCTGAAACACCAAGACCAGCTTGAACTGGGTTGGGTAAATGCTAACATTTCCTTCCTCTCCAGTTCATTTCCAGACTCTGTATGGCTTGCATCAGATATTAATTTATTGTATTTTACAGGACCACAACTTACTGGTATTTTATGGGTCATAACATCCTCATGGTCATAAACTTAACATGTCCCTTAAGATTCTAAGTCTATACGATACTAAGCAAGAGATTTTTTCTGATTACTTCATTTGTGTCAGTTTTTTCCGCGCCAACTACATATTCTGTTCCTCGTGGGCTAGAACCTAAATCACTCGTCTTTACATCTCGCTCAGCTCCTCACACCAGGCTGAATCCAAGTGCAGACCTCAGTGAAGAGCTTACTTCTACCTTACTACACAACAGATTTGCGGTAACTTATAGCAAAAATACGTCCGATAAAACAGGAACAAAGCGTCAGGGAGGGCTTCCCGTTCAAGACTGTGAACTGAGTAAACGGCTCCCGTCTCCTCCCAGAAGTCCAGTGAAATGACAGAATTAAGATCACAAGGGACCACATCCATAACAGCATGAAGGAGGAGGAGAGGCCATCCTTGGACCTGTGTTTTCATAAATTTCTGAGATACAGAACGGGAGTGTGCTGAGGTCTAGAACTGAGTGAGGAAGCCACATCTCAACTATGCACAGGAGGGCTGCAGTTGAGGAATCCAGAAAAATTCCAAGCTCAAAGCTGGCAGATACAATAAGCAGGAGTACAAATTATGAATCGAGGTGTGAAGGCCTATCTTTAGGACAGCGGGGCCCCCCTTGCCACCCCATTCAGCCCTAGCAGAGCTAGGTAGCAGTGGCATCTACCCCAGTGCTGAAACTAGAGACCTCACCTCTAAAGGAATTTAATGACCTGCCTGGGGACAGCACGGGATCCTACTCAGTGCTGATGACTAGCACACTGCCTCACTCCTCTGTTCTCTGGGTGGTTCCTGCACTGCCCAGCTGCTCCTCATAAGGGAACCTTAAAAGTGGAGCCCATCTATATCGAGCTCCTATGGAGGCAGCCCCTCTTGCAAAGGAAAGATCTCTTGGTTAAACAATCTACACAGTGCAGAGGAAATGTGCCAGCAAACATCCAAGGATCACCCAACATTCAAAGAAAACTAACAGCACCAAGAGACCAAACACTACATATGACCCCCAAGGGATGGCCCTCCTCCAAGTCACTTGCACCCCTCCTGCTATTACAGCTGCCTCATTATTTCCTCCCTGCTTCTGTTCTTGCCCTATGGGTCGTTCTGCAGAAAGTAGCCAAAGTGATTCTTCTAAAATA